TGAATAATCACCATTTTAAATATCTGATAAGTGGAGTAAGGGCAATTATGGCATGAGGAGCCAAGTGGAAATCATTACAACTGTTTCTACCAAGGAAAAGCACAAACCAAACGCAACATTGCAAATTTGAGGGGATTGCAAATATTCATGCCATCATCAAGAGTTTAAGGGTCTTAAAGGCTTGAAGGTAATCAAGCGGCCATCAAGCTCAGAAGCAACAAAGACCACATGGAAGAAACACACCAGCCTATGCAACCACGAGGTGTCGAAGGGATCAGGTATAAGACATCATCAGAACAAAAAATCTTACCACAGTGAATGATGGGGGGAGTGCGGAGTAGAGACCCAAAACCCATGAGTAGGCCACTGGAGATCCCCTTGTAGAGGGGTCTGGGGGAGGAGACGAGCCAGTCAGGGTGCGATGTAGCAACGATGAAAAATACAACTTTCCTCTAGTTCCTTAATGTTTCCTCCCCGCTCCCACTATCATGACACGAATTCTACCTTGCAAGTCTGGCTGGACCAAAGGATGCACACCGGTACAGATAGGAACTGGAAATCCAGGGAATCCAGGGCGGATGATCCCTACAGGACCAGTGGTGTGAGTGGTGATACTGGGAGGATAGAGGGAGAGTGGGTAAGAAAGAGGGAACCGACTACAAGGAACTAGATGTGACCTCCTCGGACAGGGCAAGATATGACAAAATAATAATTTATAAATTATCAAGGGCTCATGAGGGAGGGGGGATCGGGGAGGGAGGGGAAAAATGAGGACCTAATGCCGGGGGTTTATGTGGAGAGGAAATGTTTTGAGAATGATGAGAGCAATGAATGTACAAATGCGCTTTACACAATTGATGTATGTATGGATTGTGATAAGAGTTGTATGAGCCCCTAATAAAATGATTTTTTTTTAAAAGAGTAAAAAAAAAAAGGATCCCACAGATCCCCAATTAGGCTTTTGACCTGTGAAAATATGCATATTTGTATAGATGATAGATAGATAGATAGATAGATAGATAGATAGATAGATAGATAGATAGATAATTTTGAAAATTACTGGATATCTTAAATTTAACCATGAGGTAACTCTAATCCCAGCAGCTGTTCTGGATGTAGTTCATTGCTTCAGCAATTTAATACATCACTTTGTACCTGCTACAGAGTTAATGATCTGCTCAATGCTTTTTGTCTCAATTTCAGTTTCCGAGGATCACCAGAGTTGGTTGGCTTTCAGTGCGCAGGTCAGCACTACACTTCCACTCAGAGGCTTAACCACTCCCCAGCCCTATGCTATGACTTAGTCTGCAGGAACCTTGATTGACCTTGTACAATTACTATAGTCCACTCCATCAGTGATAGGATGCTGACTGGAGCTCAGAAGGAAGACGTGCCCATGGTTCTAGCCTTACTAGTAAGATAAACGTGTACTCCCTGTCCCACTTTTTAGGAGTTGATCTCAACCCACAGTAACCTTGAGGGCAGAGTAGAAATTCCCTGAAAAGATTTTTAAGGCTGTTAATCTTTGTAGAAGGACACTCTCATATCTTTCTCCCAAAAAGCAGCTGATTGATTTGAACCTTTGATCTTTCCATTTGCAGCCACATGCACTAACTACTGTGTCACCCAAAACAAACTGCCATCGAGTTAATTGTAACTCATAATAACTCTATAAAGGACAGCGTAAAACTTCTTCTAGGGCTCCCAAGGCTGTAACTCTTGGGAGGAGAACAGCTGCCAAAGGGCATCACTCGAAAGTGGACAGCAGGAGCACTGTAGCCCCTTCCTGTGACCTCCCTGAAGAACGGTGGTGAAAGGAAATCTTTCCAACGGACAGAACTTTGCACAGTATATCTGTTGTCCACTTCACTTACAAGGATCAACGGTCAGAAGTGTGGTTATACATTGATGCATACGCTGTAGCTGGCAGACTGGCTAGGTGATCAGGGACTTGGAAGGAAAACTGGTGACAAGGACACATGAAGCATAGATAATTGAATACACTGCTCTGAATGGGTCAAAGAAGTGAACATATTTGTGTCTCATAAGGATGCTTACCAAAGGGTAGCCTTGGCAGAGGAAGATTTTAACAATCAATTGGATAGGATGGCACACAGAGAAAACAGTTATTCTCCTCATTCCCCAGCCACTTTTGTTACTGGCCAATGGGCTCATGAGCAAAATGGGCATGGTGGCAGGGATGGAAGCCCCACATGTGCTCAGCACATGGGCTTCAACTCACCAGGCCAATGGATAAATGTCCAGTGTGCTTGCCACAGAGACCAACCGTGAGTTCCCGCTATGGACACATGGTTGAAGGTGACCGGTGGCCTGCTCACAGATTGATTACACTGGACAGCTTCCATTACTGAAAGGGCAGTGTTTCATTTGTACTGGGATAGATACTTAGGATAGGAATTTGCCTTCCACACATACAGAGGCTCAGCCAAATCTGTCAGCCCAGGACTCACAGAATATATTCTTCACCACCATGGTATTTCCTACAGAATTGTATCTGCTCAAAAGACTCGCTTTATAACAAATGAGGTCTTGCAATAGCTTTGTGCTCATGGAATTCACTACTCTGACTGTTCCCCATGATGCTGTAGCAGCTGGCTTGACAGAATAATTGAATGACCTTCTAAGAGGGAAGTATGGTGTTAAGTAGCTAGTAACACTTTGAAGGGTTGAGACAATATTCTCTAGAAATTGTATATATTATAAACCAGAGTCCAGCATGATTTACCGTTTTTCCTATAGTCAGATTCAAGGTTTCAGGAATCAGGAGGTGGAGATGGAACATCAGCAAGTCAGATGGCAGGCTGCTAATTCACAGGCTCCTCACTATCACCTGCAGTGATTCACTCAAAAATATTTTGTTGCCTCACCCTGCGATTCTGTACTCTGCAGGAGTGATGTTACATAGTAAAGGTCTATACAAAAGAAGATGTCTAAAATCTTGGGGGTTCTTTAGAATGTCCCTTTGTCCTGTCATGTTTCCGTGCAATGATTTATTTGCTATAGCTCTTTTAGTCATCATCTTTGTAAATCCCCACAAACTGAGTAGGATCATGCAGAGCGTATGTGTGGAATTCTTAACACGGGGGCTGGTCCATTTCTCCATCCAACTGGGTTTAAAATGAACCCTGTCACTTTATTAAGAAAGAAGAGCCAGGAGTGGAGCACCTCTTTTGGACCCTGAGATCCCTAAGCATGGCACCCCGTCAATCCAGGAAAAGGAGCTGTGATACCAGAGGAGCAGCAGAGCAGTGATAGAGACGCGGCTGCAGCAGAGCTTAAAGCTAGAGCGTGAGCCAGAGTGGCGGTCGTCCTGGTCCATAGAGCAAATAAAACTTCAAATGAGAGAGCCATTGGCAGAACAGGGTGACCATTCACTTACTCCTCAGAGCTAAGTTTGCTGACCAAGAGAGGATAAAGCTGAGCACCTTTATGCTGGGGCTAATGGTAGAGTGAAGTGCCCTTGGCATTTGTTATCAGAGGTAAAGGAGCTTTGTAGCATTGCCCAAGGAGAGGAGAGGACAAGGGGCAGTGGCTGAGAGACTGAGGACCAGAGAGAGGTGTGGCTCTGGGTCTGGCTGAAAAGAGGCTGTCCTGACTGGAAAGAACTGTATCCTGAGCATTTCTGATCCTCAACTGTGACCTGTTAATTTCCTTAATAAATCCCATACTTATGAGTCTGGTCTTTGAGTTCTGTGTGGCCATTAAAATGAATTATGAAACTCAGCAGAGAAGATGTTGGAGGGTGTTGTCAGAATTTGTAAAGAGGATAGTGGAAGATAGTAGTTCTAAAGACCGGTTATAACCATGTGACCAGTGACAGACACACAACTAGTTGATATGAATATTTCTTTCTAGTTTTATTATGTTTGTGTATATAGATGCAAGCACATATCTGAGGCCAGTCCATTGACTTCTTGTGATAGTTTGTTATGTGTGTTGGACACCAGTTGGTTGTATCATGTTAGATGGCTGTGTGACTTTATTTAGTGTGTCCTTACTCAGAGAGTGCATGCTTTACAGACTTGGCTGGTCCATGGTTCTCAGTTGGATCGTGATGTGGTTTGTCAGATATGTAGTGATGTGGTGTAGCCATTCTGGAATGATGCATTTCCCATGATCTGATTTGATGTGATCACCTATTCCTTCAGTTGTAAAAGAAGTTCCCTCAGGGGTGTACCCTGTACCCATTAAAATTGAGATATCCTAACAAAACTCACTTCCTTGATCTGGAGTCTGCATCTGATTCATCATGATGTGAGCACTAGTTCTTCAGATTTATTCGCCTCTGAGGCAGCAGCCAGTCATCTGAACTGCTAATCTTCTATGGCAGCTATGTGAGTTAGGTCTGACCTATGACCCATAAACTTGGCACCCTCTGCAACTGCATGATGCATTTCCTTGTTCTAAATCTCTGTCTCTCTGCTTCTCTGTCTCGCTCGCAGCCAGTGGATCTGTCTCTGTCCAGGCAGTCAGTCAAGTTAGTCTATCTGCACAGTTCAGGATTCAGGATCCACTAGAGAACATAGCCCATGCCACTGGCCAAGAAGGAAAGTAGTTGGTCAAGTGCTGAGAGGAAAGTCACCCCATTCAAGGCTGCTCCGTCTCTTTAAAAACTGAAATAAAAAAATTTCAAGCATCATAAGCATTAATGTTTAGCCAGTGTTTAAAAATCTTCTGAAAGTATTTTTTCCTGTAATCTTCTTTTATTTTCTATTAGTACAGATACTTCAGAATTAACCATAGTTCTGATTCTTACTCATGGAAATTCTGTCTTGGAATGTTTCATGTTCTCAGAAGAATTTCCTCTAATAAACAGCATCTTATTAAATGCTTTCTTCAGCATTCTAAAATGTTAGCTATTTTCAACTATTCTCCTGATAGAGAAATGAAAATTGCCTACATTTAAGCAGTATGTTAAAAAGTTGAATAGCAGTATTTCCAAATGTTTCAGTGTTTGGATGTAATACTTTTGTCTCCTTTATGCCACCCTGGAACAGTTGGACCTGATCATTATACACCAGCAGGTGGAGCTTCTTGGAAGTAAGTATATTCTGCACTTACTAAATAATTGAAAATATTTTGGTTTTAAGAAAGTTCTTTAAATCTAAATATTTTATAGCTAATTAAATGTGGAATAAAATTAAATAAAAAAGAGTAGTGGGTCTACTTTTAAACTACATTTGAAAGTAAATTATGAATCTAGATAAATCTAAAAACATAAAACTCTTCAAATATTTCATGACATTAACATCGATATTCTAAAACATTTTTAATCTTAGAAAGAGTATTTTATTAGAATATTCCCATGGATGTTAATAATCTAAATTTTCTTAAAGATTTCAAAAGTGGAAATATAGGTTAAAAATACATAAAAAGAATCCATCTGAACGGATTTCTAGTTGTATCTTTCATCAGCTAGTCACCAAATAAGCAAATTGTGTAACAATAAACAAATTTACATGGGTGCTGGTAATTTGTCTACTTGAGTGTTTTCTGTTCTTAATATTGTTTCACTCCTAAAATATGTCAAAATTAAAATAAACAGCAGAATAGCATGCAGCTATAGATATATTACCAGAGAGATTGTAGACAAAATCATTACTATCATTATAAATTGTCCCAATAACTTTTACAACAATGAGGAATTATTCTCAGTAGGAGATACTTCTTTACAGCACTGGCTCTTTAAAAGAAAAATAGTGCTGCATGTTTCCAAGTAACTCATAAATCTGGAATCAAAATCCATAAATGAGTTGCCTTCATATGTTCTCAGAATTCACTTTGATTTTCATGACTAAGTTCTCAAAATGTAGAGCAAGGTATTAGATTTGTGTGAATAAGATGCCTTATACTTGATTTGATTAGTCACTCTGCTTGTTTTCTCTTATTATTCATTTGAAAGTTTTCATAGAAAGTAATAGCAACATTTTGACAAAACAAAATCTTGCTTCATTAGTGATACTTGGCACTGAGACTTCCAATAAATATGAGATTAAAAACAGCTTGGGACAAAGAATCTACTTTGCGGTGGAGGAAAGCATCTGTTTCAATCGTACTTTTTGCTCCACACTGCGATCTTGCACCCTGCGGATCACAGACAACTCCGGTCAAGAAGTGATCACAGTAAACAGGCCCTTGAGGTGTAACAGCTGTTGGTGCCCCTGCTACCTACAGGAGGTGAGTCGTTCACCCTGATTTTCTCTTCTTTTCCACAATGAAAGATTCACAAGTATTTCCTTCAATGGCATTCATTTGGAGCTATGGGATAATTAACCTTTCACTTGTTTGAATCAGCAGGTCACTCCTCACGGACTGGAGCAGCTGAAGGAGTTGATGATTCACTAACATTTTTGCCTTCCTAGACACAGCCTCTGGTGGCTTCCGTGATGTTAATTGGTGAAGACAGCTCATGCATCATCTAAATGAGACACATCTTCCTGGATCTCTATACTAGGCATGTAATTGTAATGTCTTTGAGCTCCACACTTGAGCAAGTCTTTGTCTTCTCTAGCTGTAGCCGAGTTCAGGAAACACTAAGGGATAAAACACTATTCTACGCTGTTTGATTAGTTTTGTATTATTATTTTAGCACACCATTTACATATTAATTATAATCATTAATGAGAATGCAATACTCAGGATCATTAATCTTATTGTTTTAAAAGGATTAATCCATTTCTTTTATCTTAAAAAATAATAAGTATTTCTTATATAATGGATCTGCAATTATAACTTTCATTGGCATGATGCAGTTGAGTCATAATTAATTAATATGGACTTTCTAGCCATAATTCCTTATGTGATATATTATAATTCTGGACATTATACACCTGTGGCTATTGTCCCATTTTGGATAGCCTTCTCTACTACCAAACAAGAATAGGACATGAATAAGGCCTGACCTTAGTCGAGACTGTGAACTGAACCATACTGTTTCCTTGATGACATCTTGAAGACCACTGCAGAGCGAGGCATGAACCAGGCCACACTCTTTGTTTCCCTTGGATATACGTGGCCCCACCCCACCCCCACACATTGCCAAACATTCAGCACCTCACCTGGAAAGTCAGACCTCTGTTAACTGACTGAGGCTTGGTGCAAGTAAGAGAGCCTGCGGTGATCTTTTGGCACATTGGTAGCTTCTGGCTCTGCACCCTACATTTGGCTCTCTGCCCAAACTTCTGAGTTTGGGGTGAATCGCACCCAGCACCACCTGAGACAATTACTCAATGTTTTCTGAGTTTCTGTGGGTCATTTCAGTGATTCACAGAACCGGGGAACATAAGGGAATATACTCAAGGGAGGATGGAGGTAAAAATAGAGCTAAAGAGTATCATGGAACAGTTAGACATTTGGGACATCATTAATCTTCAATTCCGTGGGACCGGTCTGGTATTAATTCCACTAAAAGTGATTATTACCACAGCAGTTTACTTGACAAGTTCTCCATGGAGGATCCACATAAAGTTACTCTGGAAATGAATCTGTATATGGATGGTGGAGAATTTTCTAACAATGTAGAGTGAAGCAAATTCCTTATCTGTCTGTAGGAAATCATCTGATTTTTCAGGATGGAAAAGATGGCTAACGTTCTCATACATAGAATCCAATGAGCTTCACTCCCATGCTGGTAGTTATTGGAAATTTAGTAAGACTCAAGATGGGATAGTTAGTTTAATAATGTAAAATGTGTTAGAACATATCTGAATGAAATGTATGCAATTATTTCATATGCATATAGAGAAAAATTTTATTTTAGAAAAGTAACTTAGAATATATGTACAATGAGGTTTGTAAAGAGAAGAGGAGGGAGACGTACAGAAGATCACTATTAGCTTATTTTACATATGAGTTCATCATAATTGATTGATTGACTATTCCCTCCCCATTTCATAGAAATCAATGGAGACTGGTTTACAAGATGGCCTCTGCCCTTTCACCCAACCACACATTTTGGAATTCAAATCTACTAAGCTTCAAATGTAAAGAAAGGGATTAGTAGCTTTGGGTGAAAAAAAAAAGCAACTAGAGAGTTTGGGTTAGAGATGTCTTTAAAATGAATATTTGACCAAGCCCCAAGGATGATATTCCTGCTCAAAGCAGCCAATGCAGAGAGGACCATAGGACCAGCCCCACCACAAGACACACCGTCCCTCACTGACCCATAGTGCTCTGGGGACCAACACTGGAGACAGTGCAGGAATCCTGCCCTATCTGACCCACCACACTGAGGTGAAACACTAAAGGTGTGTAACGGAGCAGCAAGGAGAACAAAGCAATGAAGTCCTCAGGGAACACCAAAAATAGGCTCTGGGGTCAGGGAGTGGCACCCCATCAGACTTGACTGGAAAACACTCCTAAAAGTCAACAAACAGACCTGAAAGTATTTATAGGCTTTTTTCCCCTGTCTTTTTGTTGTTGTTGTTGTTGTTGTCTTAGGTTTTTAGTTTTCTTTTGTTGTTTTGTTTTGTCTTGTTTTTGTGCTAATTATTGTCTCTGCATGTCTATCGAGATAAGATGGGTGGGATAAATAATCCAGAGGAGAAAACAATAGGACCAACATTTCTGGGAGAACATGGCAGAGGGAGAGTTGGGGGAAGGAAAAGGGGTGTCAACAAATCCAGGGACAGGGGAATAAGTGATCTAAAATCCATGGCAAGGAGGGTGTAGGATGCCTGGTGGGGCTTGATCAAGGGCAATGTAACCGAGAGGAATTAGTGAAACCCAAATGAAGGCTGAACATGACAGTGGGGCAAGAGGAAAGTAAAAGGAAATAGAGGAAAGAACTAGGAGGCAAAGGACATTTATAGAGGTCTAAATACAGGCATATACATATGTAAATATAGTTATATGTAACGACAGGGAAATAGATCTATGTACATATGTTTATATGTTAAGTATTAAGGTAGCAGACAGACATTGGGCCTCTCCTCAAGTACTCCCTCAATGCAAGAACACTTTGTTCTAATAACTCGGCATTCTGTGATGCTCACCTTCCCGACACAATTGCTGAAGACAAAATGGGTGCATAAGCAAATGTGGTGAAGAAAGCTGATGGTGCCCAGCTATTACAAGGTATATCATCTGGGGTCTTAAAGGCATGAAGACAAACAAGCGGCCATCTAGCTGAGAAGCAACAAGGCCCACATGGAAGAAGCACACCAGCCTGCGTGAGTCATCAGGTGTCGATGGGATCAAGTATCAGGCATCAAAGACTCAGAACAAATCATATCAATGTGAATGAGGGGGAGAGCAGAGTGGATACCCAAAGTTCATCTAGACAATTGGACATCCCCTTACAGACGGGTCACAAGGAAGAGACCAGCCCATCAGGGTACAGTGCAGCACTGATGATAGCTACAACTTTCCTCTAGTTCTTTAATGCTTCCTCTCTCCACTATCATGACCCCAATTATACCTTACAAATCCAGTTAGACCAGAGCATGTACACTGGTACAGATAAGAACTCACAGCAACACAGGGGATTCAGGACAGATAAACCCCTCAGGACCAATAATGAGAGTAGCAATACCAGGAGGGTAAGGGAAAGGTGGAGGGAAAAGGAAAGGAACTGATCACAGTGATCTACATATAACCACCTCCCAGGGGGCCAGACAAGAGAAACATGGGTGAAGGGAGATGGCGGTGAGTGTAAGACATGAAAAATAATAATAATTTATAAATTATCAAGGGCTCATCAGGGAGGAAGAGTGGGGAAAGTGAGCTGATACCAAGGGCTCAAGTAGATAGAAAATTTTTTGAAAATGCTGATGGGAACAAGTGTACAAATGTGCTTGACACAATATATACATATATGGATTGTGATAAGAGCTGTAAGAGCCCCCATAAAATGATAAATAAGAAAATAAACATATTAAATTAATTAATTAATTTTAAAAATGAGTATTTGGTTCCATGAGGCCCCATGTGCCTGATCCTAAATCATCATCAGAGTCTTTCCTAACTTGGGTTCCACGGTTAGAGACGCTGTGTCCATCTATCTTTTTGAGAGTCTGCCTCCTTTCTGCTTCCTCTCTACTTTTTTAAACAGGAAATCCTTCTCAACAAACTATGAATAGGCCCAAAGTGCAGGAGACCAATACCACCAGGCTCATTTCTAAGTAGTATTTTGGCTGAACTCCTTCCAACACAGGTGTTTACTGCTTTGAGAGACTATGGTATAGTCAATGTTCTTTGCCATCACCGTAATTCAAATGCATCCATTCTTCTGCAGTCACACCTCAAGCTTTTGCATGCATGCAAGGCAAGTGAAAATACTATACCGTGGACAAAGTACACCTTAGTGTTCAGAGTGACACCTGTATTAGAGAGTAAGTGCTGTGTATTATGTTTATGGAAGGCACAGTCTCTGAAGAAGGTCAGCATGCTTGGTAAACAAACAAACAAAAATTCTTGCTATTATCAAGTCAATACTGACTCATAGTGACCCTTCAGGGCAGGGTAGAGCTGCCCCTATGAGGTTGTTCTAACAAAGTAACTCTTCATCGGGGAGAAAGCCTGTCTTTTTTCTCAGAGCTGCAGGCTGACTGGTAACCATTGCACCAGCAGGGATCCAGAGTTTGCAGAAGGACATCATGTTTTGAAAAGGGGCAGCGAGGGAGGGAGGGGGAAAAAACGAGGACCTAATGCCGGGGGGCTTAAGAGGAGAGGAAATGTTTTGAGAATGATGAGGGCAATGAATGCACAAATGCACTTTACACAATTGATGTATGTATAGATTGTGATAAGAGTTGTATAAGCCCCTAATAAAATGATTTTAAAAACTCCTATTTAGAATGATGAGGGCAATGAATGTATAAATGTGCTTTACACAATTGACGTATGCATGGATTGTGATAAGATTTTTATGAGCCCCTAATGAAACGATTAAGAGGGGAAAAAAGAAAAGGGGCAGTGAAAAAGAGGAGGACCCTGTAGGAATTGAATTGACTTGACGTAGTGCTGCAACAATAGTTTCAGATCTAAGAACAACTGTGAGCATGGCACAGGACCGAACACTATTCCCTTATGCTGCTCAAGTCCGAACCAGCCCATGGCACCTAACAACAACCGTTTACAGTGGAGTCCCAAAGGACTACACAAAGTTTCAGCCTCCAATAAATTCTGACCATTCCCTGGACTTTCCCTCAGGAAGAGTGAATTAGAAAGCGGATTACTACCACTCCTCTTCCTGCAATCCTGATGCCTCATGCTTCTTCATATAACCCAGCTGTTCTGATGTTTTGTGATACATACAGATTGAGTAAGGACAGTGAGCGAATACAACCTTCACACACATTTTTCCTCATTTTAAACCATGGAGTCTTCGCTTGTTTTACTCATACAACTACCTCTTGATCCACGTGCAGCTTGGACATGAGCACAGTGCGGTGTTCTGTCCGCCCATTCGTCCCAAGGCTATCCAGCATTTGTTGCTATCTGCTTCGCAAGACCTTTTTAGAGTACGGAAAAGCAAAGCTGCGACTTGGAGCACTAAGGTGTGCCTGACCCACACCATGGTATTTACGATTGCCTTGTATGAATGTGAAAGTGGGACACAGAATACGGAAGACCTAAGAAGAATGGATGCATTTGAATTGTGGCGCTGGCAAAGAATATTGAAAGTACCACAGAATGCCAAAAAGACAAACAAATCTGCTTGGAAGAAGTATAGCCAGAGTGTTCCTTAAAGGCAAGGATGGCAAGACTGCCTGACATACTTTGGGTATGTTTTCTAGAGAGACCAGTGCTGGAGTAGGACATCATGCTTGGTGAAGTAGAGGGGTAGACCCTAATGGTTTGACATGGATTGGCACGTTGGCTGCAACAGTGAACTTAGGCATAAGAAAAACTATGGATGGTGCAGGAGCAGAGAGTGTTTAGTTTTATTGTGAAAAGGATCCGTTTAAAGCAAAACTGGCTCAATGACATCTAACTATAGCGCCAACACTGTCCTTGTCAGTCCAGAAAGAGGCAGGGTAGTTCTTAGGGTGTTCCCTTAGTGAAATTTGGGTTGGAGAGTCCCAGAACCCACCCTACAAGCTTTTCTCTCTAGCATAATGCACATTTCCCAATCATGGGCCCAGTTCCATTTCAATAGTTCCAGTTCTGGAGTTTCACTTCTCCACTACTTGTCTGTCAGTTTGTCATACCATGGTAGCTTGTGTGTTGCTGGAACCCACGTCACAGGTATTTCAAATGCCAGCAGGGTCACACAAAGTGAACAGGTTTCAGCATAGCTTCCAGACTAAGAACACAGACAACAAAGAAGGAATCGGCTGCCCACTTCAGAAAATTAGCTGCTGGAAGCCTTATGTACAGCCTCCACCCACCATCAGATACTGAAGGCCCAATGAATGGAAGCAAAACACTGTAAGAGATTGTGTCAGAGGATGGGCCCCGTGTGTCGTCTAAGGACACTCAAAATGTGACTAAGGAAGAGCTGCATTCTCAGAGTGGAGTCGACCATGGTGAAGTGACTGAAGGAAAGCCTGGAGGAGTCGGTCCCTAAGGATCTTCATTTGCTTATGGGGAAGACAAAAGATAAGAAGAAACAGTTGCAAAAATCTGCTAACGATCAGATTTGGAATATGAGTACGTAGTTCTATTCCCCTCTCATTATATATATGTACATATGTACATGCCTGTATTTAGACCTCTATAAATGTCTTTGCCTCCCAGTTCTTTTCTCTATTTCCTTTTACTTTCCTCTTGCCCCACTGTCATGCTCAGCCTTCATTTGGGTTTCACTAATTCCTCTCCGTTACATTGCCCTTCATCAAGCCCCACCGGGCATCCTATGCCCTCCTCGCCATCGATTTTAGACCATTTGTTGTTCTCTTGTCCCTGAGTTTGTTAACACCCATTTCCTTTCCCGGCTCCCCAACTCCCGTGTCCGCCCCTGGAACCATCAGTCCCGTTGTTTTCTCCTCCGCATTGTTTATCCTGCCTATCTTATCTAGACAGACAACTTGCATGTAATATTAATGATATTTTCCAATGGTCTCCACACTCTGTTGAATCATCTTTCTTTGCAATGAGCAGACACATGGATGTCCTTGGATATTTGGGCACAAGCATGTTAATGCTTCCAGCATTGCGCCTGTCAGTTGAAATATCTCAGTTGATACTCCATCAATTTCTGGAACCCGTTTTTTCATCAATGCCTTCAGTACAGCTTGGATTTCTCTTAATAGCATTGGTTCTTAATCATATACAACCTCCTGGAATGGCTACATGTTGACCAAATGCTTTTGTCATTCTTTGTATTAGGTAGGCGTTGCACTGCTAACCTCCAAGTCGGTGATTCAAACCCACTAGGTACTCTGAGGGAGAAAAAAATGAGACTGTTCTGTTTCTGTGAAGATTCAGAGTTTCAGAAATCCTAAGGAGAAGTTCTACTCTATCCTATTGGCTTGCTGTGAACTAGAATCTACTGAATGGTAGTGAGTCCGGAATTTGCAGTTATTAGATTTTGTCTAATCCATTCTGACACATAGCATCCCTGTTACAACAGACACTGCCTGCGCCTGCACCATCCTCACAAGTGTTGTTATGTTTAGCCCATTTTTGCAGCCACTATCAATTCATCTCTACAAAGGTCTTCCTTGTTTTACTTTTCGCTGCCCCTCTCCTTTACCGAGAAGGGTGTTCTTCTGCAGGCACTGCTCTCTCCTGAAACCAGGCCCAAAGTTGGGGGCACAGTTCCCTCCGCCGCCTAAGGAGCACTCTGTATTTCTTCCAAGATACACTTATTCATTCTAGTGCATTCAACATTCTTTACCAACGGCACAATTCAAATGTATCCATTCTTTTTTGGTGTTCCTTATTTATTATCCAGTTTTCGCATACATGAGGCAATTAAATCTTTCAATATGCCAACTTGAGGCTTGATATTTTTCCTCATTTCTTTCACCCTGAGAAATGCTGAGGATGTTCTTACTCTAGCTTTCCGAAGCTCCCTTTGAACTCTTCCTTTCAGATCTTTTTCATCATTTCTTTTATTCACTTTGAGGATCCCTGGTTCAGTAGTGGTGACTCCATCCACAGCCTCTCTGAGGGAGAAAGATTAAGCTTTCCACTCCTGTAATGCATTACAGGCTTGGAAACCCAAAGGACCATTGCTAGTTGGTGCCCTGGGGTTGCTGTCAGTCAGAATTGACTCAATGGCAGTGAGTTTGGTTGGGCTTTTCATTGGCTTTAACTGCTGTGTTGTCAAAATCAAGTTTGGAATCTCTTCCAACATCCATTTTACTCTTTTCTTTCCTTCCTGTATTTTTAATGTCATTTTGCTTTCTCTATATATGATACCCTTGATGTAACCTCACAATTAGTCTAGTCTTTGGTCACTCATGTTCAGTGTTCAAATCTGTTCTTAGATGGCCTCTAAATCCAAGTGGGATATATTCAGAGTTGTATTTTGGCTCTTACAGATTTAACTTAATTCCTTCAGTTTCAAGTTATATGTTTATACATGGTTTGTTCTTCAGTTAGCTCTTGCCCTTGTTCTGACTGGTATTGAGTTTCTCTATCACCTCTTTCAAGTGATGTAGTTGATTTTATTCCTGTGCATGCCACCTGAGGAAGTCTGTGTGCCGTTTATGTTCAAGAAAAATGGTATTTGGCAATGGTTTCCGGCTCTGTTCTTTCAAAATTACACCATGAGATCGGCAGCATCACATTGGTTTGGCCAAAATCAAACCAAACACACTGAAAATTGTCAGAAAAAGTGTGGAAATGTAAATACTTTGGAAGAAGTGAATCAGCTATCAAATTGGTGTTTCATAAGTATCCATCTTTAAGAGCTACTTGCTTTGAGTTAAAATTTCAAGTTGACAGTCTGAAGAGGAAGAAAACTCATAAACACTTTGTAGTTGGTAAATGAAACCAAACAGATGCTTGGTTATGATGTGAACAGAGAAGGAGTGGAAAGTGTGAGGTGTGGTTATTCCTGTGATTTTATTCCTGATGCTTGACCAACTGTGGTACTTGGGGGGGAAATGGCACCAGAGAGAGAAAAAGAAAAAGTATTAGAAGACAGTCATGGTGCATGTGCACTTTGGGGCATGTTGTGTGTGAAGGTGGGGTTAAAATAAAAATATGAACCTGTTTTTAAATAGCATGAAAACATGGACTTAACAAGGGCCAAACATATATGTATATAATTTCTGTAATGTACTAAACTAAGAAAAGAAAAGCAACGACAGCAAAAGCAAGTCTTTGTTTTCCTAGGAGATGATTAGAATGATGTGCCAAATACAAAAATAATTTCATAAGAGTACATTTAGAGATAAGTTGACATTAGAGTAAAAATAGAACATTACAAGCTTAAAATAACTGATTTCGGGATCTCTTCTTACAGTTAGAAATTGAAGCTCCTCCTGGTACGGTCGTTGGTTATGTTACACAGAAGTGGGACCCCTTTTTGCCTAATTTCGCGATCCAAAATGCAAACAAAGAAGATATTTTGAAAATTGTTGGTCCTTGTGCAACATGTGGTTGTTTTGGAGATGTGGATTTTGAGGTATGATGGACAGAGTGAAAGATCTTTTCACATTAATCATAATGGTTTGCAATGTAATAATATCCTAAATGTTCAACTCATGAAATACTCTTGTTGCCCTAGCGCAGATTCTGTTTCTTGGCAGTCCAATAAAACAAGAGTAGAATAGCCTCATAAGGTGGCGAAGGCTTCAAAAAAGAAAAAAAGAGAAAGTGTTGAAGGCTGTAGCCTTACTGGAAGCAGACTGCACATACCTCCAATCCTTTAGCTCGCGGTCAAGTGCTTAACCGCTGCACCACCAGTGCTCCCTGCGAAATTTACCTGGAATAAATTTAGAAAATAATAAACCTGTGAAATAACAGAATAAGCCCATAGTATATATACCCATCATAAATAATTCATAATTCCAAAGGCAGTAACTCAAAGAACTACCAGAAGACAAAAATACTGACAAGCCCAAGTATTAAAAAGCAGGGCTAGTAATTGAACATAATCATGTCTGACAAATAAAATTTTCCTGAAGTTTGTTCAGTGTGTTTCATGTGTTTTACAGGCAAGGCTATTTTTTCCTTACTTATAACAATTTCTCAGTGCTTTAAATAGCACTTATTTAAAAGCTATATTCATAAGACTGGCTAACTTCACTCTTAAAATATCTTTTAAAAATCTTATATAGATTTCTAATCTGAATGTTAAAAACAACAGGTAGTAGCAAATTCAATGTGTTGCAGCGTGGATTTATTTTAACAGCATTACCTAAACATTCATTTTAGGCAGATGAGGTGGACTTTGTTTAAAGTTCACCTTTACTTGTCATTCATGTACACCTCACTTAGGCCAGTCCGTCCACCAGTGTGTCGGGCTCCAGCCTACACTACTCACACAGAATACCAGGCATATTTTTGCGAAGTGGACTGTCCTAACCGCACCCATTCCTTATGATGGAGGAGAACTTAGGCATCATGTCTTGGTATTCATGGTATACAGAAACGCTAAGTACCCTTCTCTGTTTTCAATCTCAAGCCATCACCATACAGAAAGTGAAACTTCGGAGTGTCACTTTAGCATCAGACCATGTACCTACTGCCATCTGGTGGTGGCCTGGTCTTAAGCATGCATTGCTATGATACTAACTGCTTACAAAAAAATATATTAAGAAAACAGAATTAAGACGTGTTAGAAAAACAAAATTACAGGAAAGTAGGCTGGAAGTTAAACCTGCAAAGCTATTCTTACATAAATTAATAATATCAAATGTTCATTTAGAGACAATAAAGTAATTCATTTCTCTCATGATGTGAACATTCTAAGAAATGTAAAATCAGCCCTTTATCTCTTACTTTCATCCCCAATGTCTTCTATGTTCTCTTCACAGGTAAAGACTGTCAACGAAAAACTTACGATTGGGAAGATTTCCAAATACTGGTCGGGGTTTGTAAATAACGTCTTTACAAATGCTGACAACTTTGGAATTCACGTTCCTGCAGATCTAGACGTCACGGTTAAAGCCGCGATGATTGGTGCCTGTTTCCTCTTGGTAAGTCTGGTGCTAGGGAATACAAATGGAGAGTCAATTGTATTTTTCAGCTTTTGACTTCAAAGACTAAGTTTTATGCAGAGGAGTCTAGTTTGGGACCAGTATTCATCAGCAATCACAACATAGGCATTTCTACTGGGCAGCCTGACTCAAGAGAAAGAAAGAATAAGAAGGGGGAAAAGCCAAACCTATTTCCATCCAGTCAATTCTGACTCAAGTCACCAGCTCCTGTGTGGTCCATGGAACTGCTTCATAGGGTTTTCGTGGCTGCAATCTTTCTGGTAGAAGATCTGGAGGCTTCCTTCCAATAGTTCCTCTACAGTGTTCCTCAAACTCCCTCTTTCTCCGGAATTCGTGTCCCATCACTTCTCATTTCCTTAAAAGCCAAGCTAGCATTTCCCTTTCAACTTCAGTGTAGATCGGGGGCTTATTTTCTCTCACCGACACGTATCATCTCAACATAAACATCCCATTATTCATCCTGGGTACAATGCACTAGTGACTCATTATTTCGCAATGAGCTGTGGGCTATCCAGGATGTGAAAAGCCCGGTTTGATGCCTCCCCGAGGGAGAGGAGGTGATCTGGATGAACTGAGGTGTGCCCCTTTCCATTATTGCACAGTGCGATGTCCTTGTCCTTCTTTCTCAATGCACAGTTTCTTCGTGTTTGGTAGGAGACCGATGATGTTGAAGAACAGCATTCACAGGAGGTCTGTGCTAGCACGTGACCAGCTCCTCTCCCAAATGTCCTAGGTATCTCCCTTTCATGTCCACTACGCTCAGGAAAACTCGAGATTTTGAAAGTGAAATTTGGCTCTTCCTCTCTTCTTTTGTTGTTCTTCAGGGCTTTAAAACTCCAATCTTATGTCTAATGTCTATGTCTGTGTATATTAATGTGTCTTGCTGTGGAATAAAAGGAGTACGTGTGGTCTGGACATGATCCCTGGTGCTAGAGTGGATTACATGTTGGACTGCTTGCTGACTTCAAGATCAGTGATTCAAAATCACGAGTCACTCTGCACAAGAAAGATCAAATTTTCTAATCCTGAGAAGATTTACAGTCTCAGAAACCCATCGGGACAGGCCTAATCTGTCCAAGAGGGTCGTGATGAGTCAGAATTGTCTCAATGGTGATAACTTTGGTTTGAGTAACTATGGTCTAGTATAGGAGGAAATCCATAGGGGATTGGTGGTGAGAATATAAGTTACCACACTGGGTGATATAAACCCTAGTAACACCACTGGGGGGTATTAAAACTCCCTGAACGACCACAGAATGTTCCACTGTCCAATTCTGTAAAGTCATGATCATCCAGAAGATTAACTGGTGATACTATAGTAATTTAAATAATGTTTATAAATTCTTTGACCTCTGAAAAATAAAACATGCAGCTGCCATGAAACGTAAAACCTTCCAATTTTTTCTCCCACTGCCAAGCGTTATTGGAACACCACTGGGAAATAGAATTGCTTTACCTAATCAACGCTTACATGTCGAGACTTTTGATCTTAATTGTTGCCTTTTTGTAAATGTACTCATATTAACCATTTATTTATTTGTAGGATTTTATGTTCTTTGAACATTCTCTGGCTGGATTATAACAAGCAATATCACAAAACAATAAAATATGCACAGAATATTTCAGTAAGTAAGAAGCAAGTTTAAATGATCTCTTTCCCTTTGAAGATATCTATATTTGACATGATCTAATTCTCTCTCATTTTCTCTGAGAAATCCTGTGGGCTCTGCATTTCATTTCTGAAGGGTCTGAATATTTGGGTGTTGGGTAACAAAATGTTAATTATGGTATTTATTAAAACAGTTTAATGAGGCAATTATCTAGTGTGAATAAATGATAGCTAAGTGTAAGATTACTGGCCGGAGCACAAGGTTGCTTTGACAGATTTCCATTTTTCCTTTTTATCCTTTTGAAGTTATTGCATGGGTAAGCATGAAAGATGAGAATGAAGGCCTGCAGCATCACTGATGAAAATCCAATGTTTACAGAACACTTTGAAGTTTTTCTAGTACTAAGGCTGGTTACTAATCAAAAGAACTGAATATTTTAAATGTTTTCAAAAGTAGTTTCTTTCGACTTTGCTTCTTAATTTTCTTATTGTAGTGACGTATTTTCACTTTACATTGGAAAAGTTAAAGGTAGAGTAAATAATGTTTAACAAAGCACAGGAATACATGTGAAATAAATTCATTCTTGGGGGAAAAGGCACACTTAAATTCCAAACAGAAGCCAATATTTATAATCTAATGTATGCTTTAAATACCTATTCTAACAAGATATTTAAATAAGTATGCAAAGAGACTTCTAAGTTAATAAAAGCCACAAGATTATGGCAGGAATTATCGCTATTTACAGCAAAATAGTCAATAGTCAATGAAGAGATTAAAATTCTGAAAAATCTACAACCCGAGACCTCGAAATAGGCAAACAAAAACAAAGGAATAAAACCTTACTCCATGGGCAATGTAGAAATCAGGAAGTAGTGAACTGAATTAATTAATGATTTCTACTTCAATGTTTTCAGAGTTCCCCAGATCACTATCCCCTGATGATCTACATGGGAAAAGGGTGGTGCGTTCTACTCCTGTAACCAGTTTCTGTCTTGGGAACACAGGGATAGTTCTCCCTTGCCAAGAGGGTCTCGGAGTCAGCATCAACTCAATGACTGTGTTTGGTTTGGGTTTAATTTTCTACATATACCCCAAAAAAAGGGATATCATAAAAAAGGATCATAGTTTTCCTCCACTTTTTAGAAATTAAGGACTCAATTTGTTTTAAGCAAAGCATCATGTAGCCTTTCTGATTCTACTTCAGAATTACACAAATACTACTACCGAAGTCCCACCCACATAGAAAAGTTTTTAGAGACTTCAGGAAATCTTTAAGAAAAGAGAGGGTCTTCCAGGAATCTGACACTACGTTGAAAAACCAACCCACTAACATCAAGTTTATGCTGACTCATGGTGACCCTATAGTTACTACAGTATAGTACAAAGTAGAACTGCCCTGTAGGGTTTCTGAGATTGTAAATCTTTATGGGAGCAGATAGCCTCATTTTTCTCTTAAGGAGCAGTTGGTGGGTTTGAACCATTGACCTTGTGGTTAGAACCCAGTACTTAACCCATTACCAGGTTCCCTGATACCAGGTTCTAACTGCCATTGAGTTGATTCTGACTCATGGCAACCTATAGGATAGTATAGAAAAGGGCCTGTGGGTTTCTGAGATTGTTGTTCTTTAAGGGGGTAGAAAGCCTCATCTTTCTCCCATAGGGCATCTTTGAACTTTCAACTCTGAGGTTAGCAGCCCAACATGCAACCTACTACACCTCCAGGTTCTCGAACCAAACTCACTGCCAGCAAGTCAGTGCAGACTTAGAGTGACCCTATAGGACAGAGCAGAATTGTCCTTGTGAGTTTGTGAGATTGGAACTCTTTGCAAGAGTAGAAAGTCCTGCTGGGAGACTAGTGTTTTTGAACTGCTAACTTTGAGGATTGCAGCCCAGTGCTTAACCTCTATACCACCCAGGCTCTTCCCTACCAGGTTAGTTGCTTAAAATTAATGCTCTTAACTGTTGTCCAGTCGGTCCCATCTTATGGCTACTCCATTTACAAAGGAACAAAATGCTCTTGGGTCCTTGGGGATCAGACTGCCTGGGTCCCTAGGCTGTTCACTGGCTGGTTTATCAAAAGCAGTTGGTCAGTTCTTTCTTCCTGGCTTGAAATTAGATAATATGAATACATATAATCTCCTAGAAATAACCTTATTACTATTGTTCAATCCATGGGTTTGCGCTTCTTGGGAAAGGGCTTATGCTGTAGAAAAGGGAAGGAGTCTCGGTCTCGTTTTCTGGTTCAGTCTCCTTTGGTATTTTTTATCCTTTGCACCTTTTTAAATAATCTCTTCCTTTGACATACAAAAAGTACATCCATATTGCCTCCAATAGAGAGAGCATAAGGGATCTTCTCCTGCCAGGCAGACAGTGTAGGCCATGTCCACCTTTATAAGCAGCCAGGTCTCAAAATAGCACACAGCCCGTATCCCAGCCCTATTTCCTTTGGTGTAACTAATACCACCATGTGTTGAGAGCAATGCAGTCATGGCAGAGAAGGAAGAGCTCCTGGTGAGAGAGAGACATGGCCTTGACTCTAGCTCTTCCATTTGCTTGCAAAGCAACCTCCAGCCTATCACTTGGTCTTTCTGAACTGCCTCCGGTTTCCCATGGTTACTTTTCAGTAGCGGAAGTGCAGCAGAGTTCAGCATTTCCTCCATTTAACCAATATGCAAATGGTTTCTGGTCTTTCAACATTTTCAAAAAGGCCCTAAAACTAGTGGAAACAGCCTCTCAACACCTACCATTGCTAAGGATAAAATTCCTTCTTAAAATAAAGCACTTATTTTAAAATAGGCTGCAGTGAAGGAAACTGCTTTTGTGCTTTGCTGTGGAATTGATCCATCACAACCCGCTAGGATCCATCCCATAGCCTCTGTATCTCTTCTATCCTCTGCTTCCCACATGCCACCAAGTGTGAAGCCAAGCACAAACAGCACGGTCCTTCGGTGCTCAGGTGCAAAGCTAGAATGAAGCAGGCTCTATGCACATCCTGATTCCTGGGTCATGGCCTTTCCCTGGTCCCCAAACCCCGCTCACTTAGAGAGAGATAGGGGAAAACTTGGCCAGGTTCAGGTTCAAGGGCCTTTCATTCAATAATTAATTCATCTATTAATAAGTACGTATTAACTTCCTTCTATAATGCCTTCAAGAACTATAGTCCCTGGAGTTAACTATTTAGGTGAAGATAATCAGTAGTACTTCAATGACGCAAAAGTTAGATTTCAAATGTGAAAAGCATATTTTGTCAAGCTGCTAAAAAAAGGAAAAATTGAGATGGACCAGGTGCAAAGTTAAGACTATTTTACCTGGTCAAGCAGAGAATGGATTGAAGAGACAAAGAATAAACTAATAAAGATGGATAAAAAGAATGATTTAGGCTGCGGTGCTAACATTTACAAATGTTCAATGATGGGGAGATGAGGGCAGGACAATTTCAAGTGATTTGAATGAGGTCAGTGCGGAGGAAATTTAGACAGTGAGGTGAACTAGCGCACAAGATGAAGATTTTAAAAGCATGTATGTTAATGTTGGTTTCTTTGTTTGTTTGTTAGCCTCTAGCTCAGTAGCAAAAACATCCTGTGAAAGTTTCTAAGGAAAAAATGTACTGATTCATGCAGTGACAGCTAGACTGGGGAGGGCTCAAAGAGGGTGCTCTTGGATGGGTATGTAAGTGCCTGTAGTAGTTTAATTCTGTTACCATCGACACGTAGCTACACTGTATATGATGAGTTAGTACTGCTCCTTAGGGTTTCTGAGATTGTAAATCTTTATGGACAGCTGCATCTCCCTCCTAAGAAGTGGCTAGAGAGGCTGAACCATTGATCCTAAGGCTAGCAGCCCAAGGATTAACCTACAATGCCTCCAAGTACTCCTCTGTAGCAAGTTAGAGGACAAGGAACATAGCTTGGAATAATGTGGGGGTCCTACAAAGGGAAAGAAGTGAGCAGATTGGAGATTTATGTAGGAAGTAAAATTAACCAACCATACTGGATATTGGGTTCAATATAGGGATATGAAGGGGAGGGGGCACTTCTGTGCTGCTTTCCAAAACAGGAAGCATTAGAGGAGAATCTAGTTTGGGGGACAGAGCACAGAGGGTTTTGGAAACTTTGAAGCTGTAATGCCTGCATGCCTTCCAAAGCAGGTGTCAAACAGTCAGGTGGGCATCTTTTCCTCTAGTGTACTTCTGAAGTGGATGATTCAGTTGAGAAAACTATGAGAGCCTATGAATTTTGTGGCTTTGAATCAATTCCAATTCATACCATCAGGGACAGGACAGGGCATAACTGCCACATAGGAGACGCAGGGGTGGGATTTCGAGTTCTAACTACCAACCTTTAAGTTCGCGCTGGCTGCTTGGCCATGGAGCCAGCAGCTCGACTTGACTTCACAAATGTTTCGAACAAGTTTTTTTTAAATCATTTTATTAGGGGCTCATACAACTCTATCACAATCCATACACACATCAATTGTGTAAAGCGCATTTGTACATTCATTGTCCTCATAATTCTCAAAACATTTTCTCTCCACTTAAACCCCCGGCATTAGGTCCTCATTTTTCCCCTCCCTCCCCACTCCCCCTTGATAATTTATAAATTGTTATTTTGTCATATCTTGCCCTATATGACGTCTCCCTTCACCCACTTTTCGGTTGTCCATCCCCCAGGGAGGAGGTCACATATAGTTCCTTGTAATCGGTTCCCTCTTTCCTAACCACTCTCCCTCTACCCTCCCAGTATCGCCACTCACACCACTGGTCCTGAAGGGATCAGCTGCCCTGGATTCCCTGTATTTTCAGTTCCTTTCTGTACCAGTGTACATCCTCTGGTCTAGCCAGACTTGCAAGGTAGAATTCGTGTCATGATAGTGGGAGCAGGGAGGAAACATTTAGGAACTAGAGGAAAGTTGTATTTTTCATCATTGTTACATCGCACCCTGGACTGGCTCATCTCCTCCCTGAGACCCCTCTGCAAGGGGATCTCCAGTGGCCTACTAATGG